CTTATACTTTAGCGATAGTATCAAGGTGTTACTTTATTGCATCACTTATACTTTATACGTTGGTTGTGCAGGTTGGTTGTACATGTATTATCGTTATCTCCCTTTTATATCCTCTTTCTCTCTCTTTTTGGCATAAAGACAATTATTGTTATTGCCACATTGCTAGACAGGACACTTTCTGAAAAATTCTTTTTAAATCATTTCCAGTTCCTCTTTAGGTCTTTTTACTTTTCCAGATCCAATAAACAGCAGACGTTAAATTCTAATCAGCTTTAGTAGCTACATTTCTTAGCTGGGTTGGGAGTTTATTGTGATCATTTTAGTCAGGAAAAATTATTTAACTGCAAAGTGGAATGAAAACCCAGATGACATCTGAACTAGTGTTTCAATCAGTTTATATCTGATGTCCCAGGAATTAAAATCACATTTCCACTTAAATACAGAGACTGTAAAGAGACACAGAGAGGTTAAACACTTCTGAACAAAGAACTAATTCACCGAATCAATGTTCATTATGTCAAATATTGGGATATGATAAAGTATAATACTTTATTACAAAGAAGCTTTTTAAATCACAATTTTATACAATAAAACTGTTGATAAAACAGATACAAATTGGTTAAAAACTCAAAATGTGAGCTTTTAATGTTTCTATTAAAACTGGTAAATTTATTTTAAAAATAAGACTCAGAAAACTAGCAGAAAATCATTTTATAGACTCAGATATTTCCATCATCTGCACTTCAGCAACAGATAGTCTGGAATGATTCTTCTTTAAGGAACTGTCTCATCAGAAGTCATATTGGGAACTGATCTGGCTGATTAAAACATAGCAGATGCTAACAGTGAAGAACTGAACAACCAGCTGGGCAGTTCAAACAGCGTCATCATTTTCCATCACTAATTAGTTCCAGAAACCCAGAACTTCACAGCCCACAGATCCTGAGGAGGCAGCCTGTTTATCTGGGACTAATGAACAAAACTGTCCAGATAAGAGGAAGAAAAACTACATTGAAGACACAAAGAAGAAACAGGACAGAAAAGATTGGAGAGAGAAATGTTCAAACTTCCTCTGATGGTGAGATTAAAAGCCAGGATCAAACATTTACTAGAAGAGATGGAAAGAACCAGAACAGAACCAGCTCCAGCAGGAGAATCCTTGGTATAGCACTGGAAGCTCATTGGTGGAAAAACCCTAAATGAAGGTTTGAGTGGAAACAGAACCAAACCTTTGGATCCTGGAATAATCCCAGCTTCTTTCTTTAAGGACTGGAAGAGGACAAAGTTTACAAGGAATCTTGTCCAGGAGTTTAAGAAAGAAACCGACTGAATGTGAAAATGTTTCTGAGTGAAAGAGACAGACATGGAGATACTAAACTGTCTGTTGACTAGGAGAGAGTTGCTCTGACTGGAGGAGACTCTTTAGACTGAACACAGAAACACTAAGGAATAGGCTCTATGCACAGCTCCACTACTTCCTGAATTTAATGCA